ATCACTTTAAATATGTCCTGCCACTCCCTTCTGGCTTGCAGAGTTTCTGCTGAAAGATCAGCTGTTAACCTTATGGGGATTCCCTTGTGTGTTATTTGTTGTTTCTCCCTTGCTGCTTTTAATATGCTTTCTTTGTATTTAATTTTTGACAGTTTGATTAATATGTGTCTTGGCTTGTTTCTCCTTGGATTTATCCTATATGGGACTCTCTGTGCTTCCTGGACTTGATTAACTATTTCCTTTCCCATATTAGGGAAGTTTTCAACTATAATCTCTTCAAATATTTTCTCAGTCCCTTTCTTTTTCTCTTCTTCTTCTGGAACCCCTATAATTCGAATGTTGGTGCGTTTAATGTTGTCCCAGAGGTCTCTGAGACTGTCCTCAGTTCTTTTCATTCTTTTTTCTTTATTCTGCTCTGCAGTAGTTATTTCCACTATTTTATCTTCCAGGTCACTTATCCGTTGTTTTGCCTCAGTTATTCTGCTATTGATCCCATCTAGAGTATTTTAAATTTCATTTATTGTGTTGTTCATCATTGTTTGTTTCATCTTTAGTAGTTCTAGGTCCTTGTTAAATGTTTCTTGCATTTTGTCAATTCTATTTCCAAGATTTTGGATCATCTTTACTGTCATTATTCTGAATTCTTTTTCAGGTCGACTGCCTATTTCCTCTTCATTTGTTAGGTCTGGTGGGTTTTTAATCTTGCTCCTTCATCTGCTGTGTGTTTTTCTGTCTTCTCACGTTGCTTATCTTACTGTGTTTGGGGTCTCCTTTCTGCAGGCTGCAGGTTTGTAGTTCCCGTTGCTTTTGGTGTCTGTCCCCAGTGGCTAAGGTTGTTTCAGTGGGTTGTGTAGGCTTCCTGGTGGAGGGGACTAGTTCCTGTGTTCTGGTGGATGAGGCTGGATCTTGTCTTTCTGGTGGGCAGGTCCACGTCTGGTGGTGTGTTTTGGGATGTCTGTGGACTCCTTATGATTTTAGGCGGCCTCTCTGCTAATGGGTGGGGTTGTGTTCCTGTCTTGCTAGTTGTTTGGCATAGGATGTTCAGCACTGTAGCTTGCTCGTCATTGAGTGAAGCTGGGTGCTGTTGCTGAGATGGAGATGTCTGGGAGATTTTCGCCATTTGATATTATGTGGAGCTGGGAGGTCTCTTGTGGACCAGTGTCCTGAAGTTGGCTCTCCCACCTCAGAGGCACAGAACTGACTCCTGGCTGCAGCACCAAGAGCCTTTCATCCACACGGCTCAGAATAAAAGGGAGAAAAAGTAGAAAGAAAGAATTAGTAGAAGAAAGAAAGGAAGGAAGGAAGGAAGAAAGGAGGGAGGGAGGGAGGAAAGAAGGATGGAGGAAAGGAAAAAAAAAAAAGAAGATAAAGTAAAATAAAATAAAGTAAGATAAAATATAATAAAGTTATTAAAATAAAAAATAATTATTAAGAACAAAAAAACGGACAGATAGAACCCTAGGACAAATGGTGAAAGCAAAGCTATACAGACAAAATCTCACACAGAAGCATACACATACACACTCTAAAAAAGAGGAAAAGGGGAAAAAACATAAATTTTGCTCTCAAAGTCCACGTCCTCAATTTGGGATGATTTGTTGTCTATTCATGTATTCCACAGATGCAGGGTACATCAAGTTGATTGTGGAGCTTTAATCCGCTGCTTCTGAGGCTGCTGGGAGAGATTACCTTTCTCTTCTTTGTTCTCACCGCTCCCAGGGGCTTAGCTTTGGATTTGGCCCCGCCTCTGCGTGTAGTTTGCCGGGGGGGAGGGAGGGGCACGGAGTGCGGACGAGCCTGTGGCGGCAGAGGCCAGCGAGACGTCGCGCCGGCGTGACGTTGCAGCAGCCTGAGGCGCGCTGTGCGTTCCTCCTGGGGAAGTTGTCCCTGGATCCCGGGACCCTGGCAGTGGCGGGCTGCACAGGCTTCCCGGAAGGGAGGTGTGGATAGTGAGCTGTGCTCGCACACAGGCTTCTTGGTGGCGGCAGCAGCAGCCTTAGCATCTCATGCCCGTCTCTGGGGTCCGCGCTTTTAGCTGCGACTCGCGCCCGTCTCTGGAGCTCCTTTAAGCAGCGCGCTTAATCCCCTCTCCTCGCGCACCAGGAAACAGAGGGAAGAAAAAGTCTCTTGCCTCTTCGGCAGTTCCAGACTTTTCCCGGACTCCCTCCCGGCTAGCCGTGGCACACTAACCCCCTGCAGGCTGTGTTCACGCTGCCAACCCCAGTCCTCTCCCTGCGATCCGACCTCTGAAGCCCGAGCCTCAGCTCCCAGGCCCCGCCCGCCCTGGCGGGTGAGCAGACAAGCCTCTGGGCTGGTGAGTACCGGTCTCCACCGATCCTCTGTGTGGGAATCTCTCCACTTTGACCTCCGCACCCCTGTTGCTGTGCTCTCCTCCACGGCCCCGAAGCTTCCCCCTTCCGCCACCCGCAGTCTCCGCCCGCGAAGGGGCTTCTAGTGCGTGGAAACCTTTCCTCCTTCACAGCTCCCTCCCACTGGTGCAGGACCATCCCTATCCTTTTGTCTCTGTTTATTCTTTTTTCTTTTGCCCTACCCAGGTACGTGGGGAGTTTCTTGCCTTTTGGGAGGTCTGAGGTCTTCTGCTAGCGTTCAGTAGGTGTTCTGTAGGAGTTGTTCCACGTGTAGGTGTATTTCTGGTGTATCTGTGGGGAGGAAGGTGATCTCCGCATCTTACTCTTCCGCCATCTTCCCCTCCTCTCCTCAAATAATCTTTAAAGCAACAGCGGTTTAATTCAGCCCTTCATCTTCTGGATAGTTCCTTCTTCTTTCAGTCAGATGCATAATTGGTTGACAGATTTCTGAGGTTTGTTATGCTCGCTTGTCTCTCTGCGAGCTTTACTTATCAATGATAGCTTGACTGAGGCAATATAAACATTGGGTCACATTTTCCCCTTCAAGTTTTCCGAAAATGAAATGAGATTTGTTGTAAATTTTTGTGTCCCCACCACCCCCACCTTGTTGATTATAAAACATTGCATTGACATATATACACTGATATGTATAAAATAGATAACTAACAAGAACCTGCTGTATAAAAAATAAAATAAAATTCAAAAAATAAAAAACATTGCATTCCCATTACTGAAAATCCCTCATGAGAATACCTTTATGCAGCCCAAGACCCGTGGCATCACCAGGTAGGGGTCTTATCTTTCCATAGGAATGGAGGCAAGTAGTGAGCTGTCACCATGGTTTCTTGCCAGGTTCTCTGAAGTTGTACAGGTTCTACTGTGATCATAACATGGGAGGAGAGCCTGTAGGGTCTGCTTCAGGCTCCTCTACGTAGATATTATGATTGCTTGAGTTTTGTTTTTCTGTCAAAGAATAAGGAGAAACTTTTACTTCATGCTCCAATGATAGTTTCACGACTGGAGGGCATCTGTGGCCCAAGCTGGAATGACCCTTCAGAGTTGTCCTGCATCGCCTCATCCTTCTGTTTTTGGGCAGTGGTTCTCAGATTTGACACATATTCTTCCCAGTCCCCCTGCCTGAGTAGAATCCTTGGGTCCCTGGGTTCTGCCAGTAGAGACTCACCTGCAAAGCATTGGCAGCTCTGCTGTCACCTACTCCTGTCACCAAGGGTTCTCACCAATTTGGAGGCATAGAGTTTAGCCTCCTAGGGGCGATGCAGGACAACTCTGAAGGGTAATTCCAGCTTAACAGCTCACTGAGTGGCTGCCTGAATCCTTTGTCAAGACCACATCATGGTCCAGCTTCTCCTTTTGTTCAGTCCTGCTTCCTCCCCTTTCCTTTATCACGTGTTGATCCTGAGTGTACTCCCTAAACACACTTCCTGCAACATCATCTCATTCTCTGAGTCTGCTTCCTAGGGACCCCATTCTGCAATACTCAGTTGATTCCCTCAAGCTCCTCAGCCCCTTGTTTGGCGTGAACAGTGCCGGCCCTGATTGCACCTCAGGGCCTTCGCATGGGCTCGCTCTTCTGCCATACTGCCCCTCCCTTTGCATGTCCTGATGGCTTGTTTCCTCACTTCAAGTCTCTGGTCAGATGCTACCTCATTGAGCAGGCCATTGTGACCTCCCCATAGTAAAATAAAATCCTTTCTTCATTACCTTACTTTGTTTTTCATTCCTCCTGATGACCATCTGACAGAAATATTTCTGTTTACTCTGTCTTCCCCTACCACTGTGTACGTTCCATGAGAATATTTTGTTTAGTATTCCTTCCGCAGTGTCTGGCACATAGTAAGAACCCAATAAATACTTGTTGAAAGAATGAATACATGAGTGAATTCTATCTGCTTTCCTTCTCTAAGCCTGAAAGTACTTTCTCTTTCCATGCCTCCTCCTGTTTAGTTGCAGTTGGATGGCCGGAATTTCCAGCTAGAGAGAGCACATTGTAAAGTGTGCTCTTCACTACTTGATTTAGTTAGGAGAGGGCAAAAAGATAGGATTCTTGGAAGAGTGCCTGGAGAAAGCCCATTTTTCCTAGGTGAGGAAGTGGGGGATAATCTTCTGGCTTGTTTCTTTTCTCCTTCTTTTTCAAACTTTTCCTCTGTTATCATACTTCAAAGCATTGGACGCTGACCTATGTGCTACATCTCTGTAGCCTTTAACCTCATCATTGTCTGTTACATGTGAATTACCTGGGGAGGTAATTCACTGAGCTGTATCTCATAGTGATCAGCAGCCCTTGGCTTGGCCATAGGAGTAGGCATCATCATGTCTGAGGATCAGTTAGTTACTGGTGAGTCTCCCCAATTCACTCAGTCACTGACTTCATACTTACATACTTCTTTTATGTCTAAATTCCTCTTTTATTAAAAAAAGGGTGAAGACAAAGCCCTTGCAACACAATATTTCAATTAAGAGAAATGAAAATGATTAAGCCCTAAACCCACACTTGTCCTCTGCTTAACAAGCCCTTGCGACACAATATTTCAATTAAGAGAAATGAAAATGATTAAGTCCTAAACCCACACGTGTCCTCTGCTTAACAAACACTTTTTCTCCCACACACAGGAATATGAGACCTGAACCTTCCTTTCCCACTGTGGAGGGGTTACAGTTTGAAGGAAGCAATTCACTTATCCATCTAATTTCCAGAAGATCTTGATTGTGAAGTGCTGTTTGTAGATACCATCAGAGATGACCAGGTAAATGAGCAGTGACTGATTCAATTAATTGATAAGAATCTATTAGTATGGATCCAAATCATCTTGTCTGAACACAGAGCTTTAGGTACCAATAACTATCAGGGTGGCTGTCATTTCGTCTTGGTGGAATAGAGGATCCTGTGTGTGATGAAGCCCAGAAGGTGGCGCTGTGCACATTTAAGGGATAATTGATTTTTTTAAGTGCCAGTGGACCCTGTGTGGATAGCAGTTTGTGAGATATCCCTCTGATTGGTCAGTTTGAGGGGCAGAATCCACCCTTTCTGTGTCCAGAAGGCCTTCCCCTTTGAGGAAGTCCGGGCATTCACACTCTGTATGTTTTGGCAGGGAGTCAGAGGACTTACTTTGAAATCCTGGCTTTGCCATTTACAGGCTGTGTGGCCCCGAGCATGGTACTTAACCTTGGTTTTGCTCAATATAATTTAGGATAGATAAGAACTCTGTCATCAGGCTCTGAGGATTAAATGAAATAATGTATGCTAAGTGTGTTACCTATGGTCGGGCCGCATGTCTGTCTTAGAAAAGGGCATCATTCTGGAGTGATGCGGCCACTCTGATTGGCATGGCTGCAGCCCCCTCCAGCGCCTGCCTGGGCCAAGTGCCCTTGTGCTGCCCAGCCTGCCCTCCCCTCATCCCACTTTACCTGCAAACTTGTGAACCGGGAGTTAGTTGTTATGGCCATGCTCATCTTAGATGATTAACTGTGGCAAGAAGAAGAGAAGGGTGCACTGTTATTCCTTTGGTGGGAGATGGAGAGATAACCAGGACAATTTAAGCCTTGGAGCCTTAAAATATATAATCGGTATGCTACAGAGCCAGACTGGAATAAACAAAAAGGCATGTAATTTGAACAAAGGATTCTTGGAAATCTGAAGTGGAAACTTAGCCCCCAGAGCAGGAGATTTTACCTACTTGGAAAATTGAATGTTAACCTTCAGGATGTTGAAATTCCTGGATAACTTAACAGAGTGTCTAAAATGTGGGTTCCCATGAACGATGACTTAGAGCTGGAGCTACAGTGCGGTTCTAGCAGTGGGGACATGTTGCTATGGAAACCCTGAAGCTGGAAGTTCCTCCATGCCTCAGAAAGGCTGTCAATTAGATCCATGCACTTGGGGAGTCTAATGAAAACAGACACTTGTCATTTTTCCAGCGGCCATCTAACATATACATTTAAAATATGACCATGGAAAGAAAAGCCTGCGGTTAAGTTGAGCTGTTTAAGAGAATTCTCTTGTGTGGCTTTGACAGGGCAGATTTTTTTTTCTCTCCCTCTACATTAAAGGAAAAAAATGAGGCCCTCCAGTGTTGAGCAGAAACACAAATAGGAGGACCACTTATGGTGGTTCATTCCAGGCTGTTGGAAGGGAGCCTCAGGCCTACAACCCTTATTTACTTCACAGTGAGGGTGGCTGGCTCTCCCTTTCATATTCACCCCTCTCAAACTGGGTCCCCAGAGCTTTTGGTATTGTGAACTCACACTGGTTGACTGATAGGTACTTTTCTTTTAATGGGGCAGCTCATAAAAGAGACCTTCATTAGACACCACTCTCTGCAAATGTCAGATGCTGGGGAATAAGGAATCACAGTTTTCGCTTAGATTGACTTGCCATTTGAGGCCAACTGCTGGGATCTGACTTCCCCTGAGAACACAAATCAATAGTCAGTAGAGAAATCAGAGAAGAAGAGCTGGTTGAAGATGGGGTATTACTATTTGTTTTCAATTGAATGTATGTGTGTATATATATATTTGCTTATTTTTACCCAAACATGCTAATTTTGAGTTGCAATTTGCAGAAGAAACACTTGTACTTCTTATCATGGGATGATTAATAATAAGATGGGAACACTTTTTTCAAATTGGGCTGGGAACTGAGGACCTGGTGGTTAGGAACAATGTCAGGCACAAACAAAGAGCTGAACGCTCACATTTAGTCATGCCTGCCTTTGCCTAACCCATTAGGCAGCCAAATGACAATTGAAAATTCAGTTCCCAACATTGAGAAGTAAAGACTGGTGCCTCTTTGACTTCTGAGTTCAGGGCATCCTACTCTTTTTACTTTTCTTTTATATGTCAAATCAGAAGTAGATCAACAGAAACCAGTGTTATTAGTTCTCCAGTTAAGTTTGGCTCATAAGAATGTAGCAAACTACATTTGGTTTTCAGTGATATTTGGAAATCGCATTTTATGTTCCAGATCTGATTGCATCTGGTAATTATCACATCTCTTTTTTTTTTTTTTTTTTTTTTTTGCGGTACGCTGGCCTCTCACTGTTGCGGCCCCTCCCGTTGCGGAGCACAGGCTCTGGACGTGCAGTCTCAGCGGCCATGGCTCACGGGCCCAGCCGCTCCGCGGCATGTGGGATCTTCCTGGACCGGGGCACGAACCCGCGTCCCCTGCATCGGCAGGTGGACTCTCAACCACTGCGCCACCAGGGAAGCCCTCACATCTCTTTCTGTGGCAAAGAAGCTAACAATATTGATACGGAAAGACACAGATATTGCTTGCCCTCACGATTGAACTGGGGGGGGGGGGACACAGTAATTACACATATCCCCAAAGTACACATATTATTTGGCACTAGATAAAGATTCTGCTGAGAAACTCTTTCTTCGTATACACAGTAATGATGGTAATTAGTACAATAAAAACCGGAAACAGCAAACCAAAGTCACATATCTGTCCCCATAGCTTTATACTCTGATATCAAACACTGCAGATGGATGGTTGGCAGAATGATTCCCCACATCAAATATGTTCTAGTAGAAAGTGCGGTTCAGTAGTTAGAGTGTAAGACTTAACATGGACTCTACCACTAACTGACTGTGTAATCTTGGGAAAGTCACTCACCCAATCTGGCTATCAGTTTTAACACCTCTATTATCAATATAAGAGAGTTGATCTAATTGAGGACAAGTTTCCTTTTTTGATTCTGTGTAAGTGCAAAGCCTGCCATGTGGCCTTTAGGAGCTGAGCAAGTAGCTACTTCCTGGATGGGCAAGGAAGGCCCTATTCCCACAGAAGCAAGAGTTGTGCTACAGCTTCCCAGCCTAACCGCGAGGACATATGAGGACTAGCAGCTTTGTTCTGCTTCTGCAGAGCATGGGCAAGAGTCTAAGCACCTCTCTCTCAAACAGCAAGAGTTGCCCAGGCAGTGCACACACCAACATGCTTCTCTGAGTGCTCTTGGATGAGAAGATGAGATGTTGCTCTGAGTGGGTCTTTTGGTTGGTAGTTATAGGATCTCAAAGTTGTGGCTACATGGTCATCACTTAGATTCTCTTAAATTTTGTGATTTGCTACTTTTGGTAGCACAAAATTAGAACTTGGGAAAGAACAAAGGGATGGTCACCTTCCCCATAAGCTGTATTAATGGCAATCAATTTATAGAGACAATTGCTCCTTTTTGGGAGTGCCTCCTCTGACTCGATGCTGTCTGCCAGCTGAAGGTGAAATTACAACAATTACAAACTTAATATTGGCTGTGACCCCTGAATTGACCCTTTGAAGGAAACTGGATTGTGTCTGAGTCTGTTATCTCTGCAAGGGGACAAGCTGTCTTCAGAATTGCTTTGGGGGCCCCATCATGTCATTGTGAAATTGCAGTTGGTGACCTTGGCAACATTTTTCAGATTTCGTGCAGATAAGCTTGAACACAGCCAGGTCCCTGGTTTCCAATGTTATTTAGAGAATTGGATGATTTAAAGCACTTATTTTTCCTTAACTCAATTCTCATCATAATCCGTCAACATCACAGTACGTTTATTCTCCATTTCATTCTTATATGATCCTATTAGTTGGGAGTAACCCAAGTGATATTTTTCTTTACTATGGCCCTGTCTCCTCTTTGCCTTTGCTAGAACCTTTTACTAAGTCAGAATTCAGCCATCCTCTATGCAACAATTTTTATAACCCTGATTTTGCTCCTTGGGTTTTGCTAGGGATGAGATGAAGGCGGTTCCTTCTGTTCTATGCAAATGACATTTACAGCAGTGTCTTTAAATCAGAGGTTTGAATTGCCTCTCTTAGATGATTGAGGCTGATATATTTGCAATCAGCTGCACTCCGTGGTGTCCTCGTGCTACTCCATGAAAGTGAAAGTAAGTTTTGGAATTGAGAGTGAGTCACACTTCCAGGCCTTAAGGAACATGGCCCCATCGTGACTTCAGTGTGATGACTCAGCCAAAGTGGAGCCTAGGATGTGTGAAAGGCTTCATTCTTGGCTATGTGGCTGCCTCCTTTTAAGTTTCCAGGTGAGGGACTTCCCTGGTGGAGCTGTGGTTAAGAATCTGCCTGCCAATGCAGGGAACACAGGTTCGAGCCCTGGTCCGGGAAGATCCCACATGCTGCGGAGCAGCTAAGCCCGTGCGCCACAACTACTGAGCCTGCGCTCTAGAGCCCACGAGCCACAACTACTGAGCCCACGAGCCACAACTACTGAGTGCACATGCCACAACTACTGAAGCCCATGCGTCTAGAGCCTGTGCTCCGCAACAAGGGAAGCCACGGTGATGAGAAGCCCACGCACTGCAATGAAGAGTAACCCCTACTTGCCACAACTAGAGAAAGCCCATGCACAGCAACAAAGACCCAGTGCAGCCAAAAATAAATAAATAAATTTAAGTTAAAATAATAACATAAAAAAATTTTTTTTAATGTTTAAATAAATAAATACTTAAAAAAATTTCCAGGTGAAACTGACATTCCCTGTTGTCAAGGAGCCAGTGGCTCTGAGTAAGCTCTCACCATAGCGGGAATGCTGGCCTGCCTCAAGGGGCATTTCTGCGTTTCCTGAGTTGGTTGCCTGTATATTGGAAACCTCACTGATCAGAGGCCATGACAGAAGGCAACATTTACTGTCACCATTAAAGGTTATTTAAGGAATGCACATTCCTCCTGTACAACTGTTTTTCCCTTTGCCATAGCAGTAGAGGGCAATATGATAAAGTCTCAGTTCAGTTCAATTTGACAGACTACTCA